TGGTTGTTGCCCGCCATAGGCCCATCAAGTCGTCGAGGTACCCGGGCGTGGCACTCGAGTCAAAGAAGCCCGCCAGCCGCAAGTGGAGGCCGGCCGCTTTGAGGTGTAGGTTGATGACCGGTGATAGGTTTTGCGACAAGACCGAGGCTTGAAGCTCACCGTACTCGCGACGATACACGCGCATCAACATTGCGCGGTGCTCGTCGCCGGCAACGCCCCGAGGATCACTGGCGTTGCTATACATCTCCTTTGAGACCTTATCACAGAAGCGTTCTATTTGGAGCCGAGCCTCCAATTCGGCGCCTAGCGAAAAGGGCCCGGAGTCGCCTGGGCGAACAGCCAGCGTCCAGTCGTATAATGTCGACGCGGGTTGGCCATAGCCAGTCCCGATTGTCTGGGCAACAATATTACAAACTGCCCAAGTTTTGATCCGGTCATGTAACCCATCCTTATTGAGCTCTACAGGAAATCGCGAAAAGTCGTTGATGTGGTTCGGCCGGTGCAGGCCAATGCCCGTCGCCGTCTTCATCATGACGCCGCCGAGGATATGGGTAGGGTCGGATGTTGATGTGCTTGTAGGGAGTGGCCATGTGCACAAGAGACACAGGGCCTTGACGGCAAAGTAACTCTGGGGCACCTCTCCAACGGTAGTCCAAAGCAGCCTCGTCAGGGGCCCCGAGAGCTTTGTGAGGAAGGTAGGGTCTTGGGTAAAGCGTCGGCTGGCAACGGCTATGATTGCCCAATAAAGCAGGGGGTATTGCTGGTAGTACTGGTCGGGTGTCTGGGAGGGGTTGAGGAACGGCAGGAATGGGTGGTAGAAGTTGAAGAACTGGCTGAACAGCTGACCCTCGTCGTCCTCTGTGAGCCTGAATTCTTCGAGCTCGCGGGCGATCCGGGGCAGGGCGTAGGAGCCGCCACGCTTGAGGTGCAACAGAGACGACACAGCCTCGTCGGACCCCATCAGGGAGGGATTCCTCGTGTGCGAGTACTGGCTATTGACAACGGGGGATTGCAGTTGTGAGTGTATGGCCTCCTCGTCGTCCTCGATGAGGAAGCCCTGGCTCTTTGCGCTCTGCACTGCGCGGCGCAGCTTCTCAATCTCCTTCTCCATCTCGGCATGCTTGCTACGCTTCCCGACACGCTTGAAATTGGACTCGATCTTGCAGTCGAGCTTGAGGCGATTGCAGCGGGAGCAGCTCTGGAAGGGGTCTTGCACAACGTCACAGCGCAGCTGAGTAGGCGGGAAGACAGGTTAGCTGGGCTCGTGAAGGCTCAAGGTAAGGGGCCCGGGGGGGAGGGGGGGGGGTTGTGGGTTGGGAAACCAGGTGACTCAGCCCACCTTTTGCTGACGGCACTCGTTGCAGGCCCGCTTGACGCCGGGGAGGCGGCGGCCCTTGGTCTCGGGGGAGGCATCATCGTCGTGGTCGTGGTCCAGGTCGTGATCGTGATGATCGTGGTCGTGGTCGAGGATACTGCCAGGGCTGCTGTCCATGATGCTTCTCTTGCGCTTAGGGCCTCCTCCATTCGCGCCATGGGCCCGCATGCTAGCGGGGAAGTCGGGGCTTTCCATCACGGACCGAGGGCCGGGTGGGGAGAACACGGCTGTTTAGGGTCCAGTGGCTCCCAGGGCCCGAGACGGCACGGAAGCTGTCAGATAGGCTGGTGGCCACGGCAGGATGGCTCGTTGGGTGGTCCGGTCTCGCGATTGCGATGAGGGAGTTTTGGGTTTTGGAGGAGAAAAAGCCGATTTACGGAACCGGGTGTGGTGCTTGCCTCTGCCCGCTACTGCCCATCCCCCCGCCCGATGGACTCATCGCAGCGCACGCACACTCGATCAATTTGGATGGCGGGACTGCGGGGGTGATTTGGCCGGCTGATTGGCCACTGCCTGCAGCTTTGACCCACCAGTGGCGAACGCCCAGCAAATAGCGAGTCGCTCGGCGCCCCTCCATCGACGACATGGAACCTCACAAGCCTTTCCCCGGGATGGCTGATGGCGACACAACAACTCCACGTGTGTGCAATTCTGTCTTGTTAAGACAAGCTCAGGCCTATGCCCGCCTGCCTAGTGACTGCCCGTGTTCTCCACCATGTCGCCGATTTTCATTGTATTATCTGCGGCTCTGTCCCCTTCCGCTGTCACCAAGCGCAACGTCCCAAGGTCAGCCAAGGTCGGCCGCTAGCTTCATTCGGCAAGACACCGCAAGCTGTTCCTCAATGCCAATATCGACGCCGTTGATGCCGCGAGCGAGTCCCGTTAGCAATTAGGTCCCACCCCCACTTCACCCACCGTCCCGCGGCATGGCGTTCAGCACCCTCCCCCCCAGCAGCCCGTTTAGCGCTCAGCTATGTGCCCGTGCGACGCAGAAGTACGACTGGCAAGGTACAGTTGTAGCTGCTAGTGGCTTGGTAACGGGCACAGGTCAAGACTTTCCCTGATCCGTGTGCCGTCATACTGATTGGTTATCGGGCTGCCGGTTCTCGACTTCATCCTGCCACGACACCACTGTCAGCTTTTAGACTGAACGGAGGCAGCATCACATCATCAACGGGGATAAAAGGATTATGCTTCCATGTGCACGCCGGAGCCAGCCAAACCAGGGATCTGCGGGATGGTCGGCACCGAGTGGCAAAACTGGCCTCCGGTCGTGCCGCCGCCGCCGGCTGCAGTGATCCCGCCTTTCTCGCTCTCGCTTGGCCGAGTCTGCCGCTGTGAGGATTCACATGAATTCTAGACTACCTAGGTAGGCAGTGACCAATTTCCGTTCGCGGAATGCCGTGGCTGTTGGGCGCGCTGAGCCGCTCGACCCGCGCAGCTCAATCCCAGTTAGGTGTGACCGGTCATGAGGGCAGCTAGTAACGCAGGGGAACCAGCACCCAGAAGGGTTCCATTTCTAGCCACAGCCCTACGCAGACATTGCGTGCTGGCGTATCTGCCGGCACCCAATTAGAAGGCGATAACCGTACTCGAGAGGCCAGACCGGGCCGCTCGTCCTGCTTTCTCTGCTGCTTTCGCTCGGTGCTGCTTTTTACTAACTCTTCTTGATCACCGCCGTGCCAAAACACAACACCCACAGCTCCCACAACTCCCACAACTCCCACAACACCACCCTTACGCCTGATCCTGCACCCTTCACGCACGGCACGCACGTCACGCACGTCAAAAGCCCGCCATTCCCAAGGGGCTGCCCCATGCTACTCATGTCTCCCTCGCGGTACATGACGGTATAATGAGCGGCTTAAGTCTACGTTAAATTCTCGGTCCTATAGTCAAGTGCGGGATGCCGACCCCATATTTGTGGCTGCAGCACTTCCGGTTTCATCAAAGGATTGATGCTAGACTCAACCTGTTGCGTATGTGGTCTTGCTACGCGAGCTGCCAGCAGGAGCTATCACCGACCATTTGGGGCAATCAGGCCTTGCTCGTGCAGAGGCCGACTTGGACGCATCAACATAACAATGAGGCGGTCACCACTTCGGGCCAATCATAAACTCCACTTCTAGAACGACTGCTTACAGAAAGGCCGCGCATGCGGAGCGTTTTGAAGGCACCTCGAATCCCGGAGATGTTGAGCCTTCCCGTAGTTTCAGCCGACTCTGAGTCGGCCACTGACCAGCACTGCCCCGGCAGGATGATTTAGCTTGTCCTCTTTAACGATCCCCTGGTCTATCATTGGGGGCAAGGACACCATCACGGCTCTCTTTACCCCGAACACCAGCTCGTGTGTTTTTTTCTCTCAGAGGCAGAGCCTAGGACTCTCCGGTCCAGTGGCGAGAATTTGTGGGAGGCCGATATGGGACACGAAACGGCGCTAGCGTTGCTGGCAGGTAATCGTCAAGAATACCCGAGCCTCTCACTTTATGAAGCCCAGGGTTGTGGCTATGCCACAGCACGAATCTAATTCCGTCCGCCACCAGAGCGAGACCTAGCCCTATGAAACGGAGCCCAAGCCTGTCCCGAATTAGTGTCAACAAAAGGCTTAATCTTAGGGGCCGGCTCATTGGGAATGGTTGGAGACTTTATTCCATCCCTTGAGCTATCGGATGTGATTCGGCTCGTGGTACATACTAGTAGGATCATTGATGTGGCGGGGACTGGGGCCATGGGATATCAAGGTCGACCGCCACTTGGTGACAGCCCACCCTTCCCCACGTACATGCAGCCTACCCTCTGCGTTTGTCACCCGGAGCTTGACATCCGGCTGTCTTTTCCCTGGAAAGGTGTGACCCAAGGGTGGGGCAGCCATCGGTGCTGGCTTGGGGAAGGAGAATCCAACGTTCCGGGCTTGAGGAGTGCTTAGATCTTGAGGGCGTGTTACCTGCCACGCGGGCTCCCACACACCTCCAAGTTGGAGGGGGGATTTCATTGAAGTCAGTCCACCCGGGCACCCAGGGCACCCAGGGCACCCTTGGCTGGTCCTCAGACTTCTAAAGGCATGCTCTGAGTGGTTACAACAGATGCTGCCTACCTCAGCATGATGATGTCTCAGCAGCATAGCTGGCAATGGCACCTAATCGATCTATCGTCACAGAAAGAAGGATCGAGTGAACCTCAGTGTCCCCCGGGGTTTGAGCTAGCATGGCTTCTCATTTGTCGGGGAGGCGGATTGCTAGAGCCGTTGCAGCCTTGCGGTGTCAGGTGGCAACCGTCTTCACATAACCAAATCCCATAATGTACATCGAAGCTATGTTCCAGTGACGCTATCATCCCTAATATTGTTTCCTTTGTTGGGAAGAGAGCCAAAGACCTAGCCTGTGACTGATCTAGCCTAAGAATGAGATGCGATAATAACTATAACTGATCGCGCCATATTCAACTTGCTGAAGTATTACACTAACAGAAACCCGATAAGCACCTTGCTAGCCGTATTCACTTTCTATCGATTGTAGCGTTAGTTGGGGGGATAAAGAGTAAGTCGTTTGAGCGAAGTGGCGGTCTTTTTCGGGCGACTGCTGAATGTTTGAAGATAAGATGCCATACCACTCTGATACTGTAGCAGGTCTCCTGCTAGGAATTGAACCCAGGTTCCGAGCGAGCTGTAATTAAACGCTTGACAAGCTCAAATACTGGCCACTATACTACAAAAGATTCTTGATGTTTATGCTTGGAAATCCCCTATTGATGGGGTGGTTGTGGAGTGCCCCTGAGTCGGGAGAAAGTTCAAGTTGTCAGGGGTTCAGGGGGGGTGGCGCAAGCTCCATCCAGCCACAAAGCAAATCTGTGGCTGGAGCTATGCAATGACGACACAGCCGAAGTTCGCTTTCCATGCCCCGAATTTTATCGAGCTCGCTGAGAAGGTCGCCAATTGACCACCTCCACCGACACCTTCACGGACAACCCCAATGTTGTAAACAAGATGGGGGCATCGGGATCTAAGGCTGCTCAGAGCGGTGCGCGCAAATTCCCCACCCGGGCTCCGGGCTCAGCACCTCCCCGATCAGCGCCGCGGGCATCACGACCCCCTCCCGAACCACGATCCCAACCTCAGGCCTCATTTACCAAGAACGACGGTGAGTCTCCGATGAACACCCAAACCGAAATATTTGAAACCAATAAGCTAACTCCCCCTCGTAGCCATCCGCGCCGACTCCCTCGACCCCCAGGGTCACCCAGAGTACATCACCCCCAACTTTGCGCACCGGCTCAAAGCCATGGGCGTCGCCCAGCCGAACCCGACCTACTCGGCCACGTCGACCTACTCGCAAGGGTCGACCGCACCCACCATGTCCCCGCAGCCGCAATCGCGGTCCGCCGCGCCGCAGCAGGTCTTCGCGTCGGCGACGGGCAACACGACGCTCAACGTGCTCGAGGCCCGCCGGCGGGTGGAGGAGGAGGCTGACGCTGAGTTCAGCCGGGTCGGACGGTCCAGCAATAACGTGGGGCGCGAGTTTTTGGATGTTGCTACCATCAAAGAAGCGTTGGTGCGGCGGCAGCGTGGCGAGTCGGCAGCGGAAATTGAATCGGCGCTGAAGCTCAAGCCAGGCGTGGTTGAAAGGCTGGGCCCGGCCGGTGTTGTTTCCCCTCCATGAAGCGACTACCTGCCTTGCCCACCGGCGTTCCTGGTTTGTATAATAATGTATTCTTTATTTTGTTGCTGCCTGGATGCAAATACACTTTCTCCATATCCCGGCAGCTTTTGTTTGTCTGTTGGCTATTTACATCCGGCCTGCAGCTACGAAACTCGATGTGTTGAAGCATATTACTTCACGGCTCTAGCCTGGATATAAATAGCTAACAAACGAAAAAAAGGCTACCTGGATGTAGAGCAAGTGTCCTCTATCGGTGGATAGGAGTTCCGGCTGGATATATGTACATTAGACTCTTAAGATACCTCCCCAGCCAATACCTATTCCGATTCGCTCCCCTTCGACATGATCTGCTGATTCACCAAGCGCAATGGCCCCCGTCGATCCGTAGATCGGCCCCCGTCATGAAGCTGCTGGCATCGCTGAGGAGGAATACGGCCGCGCCTCGGTATTCCTCGGGGTAGCTGAGCCGCTTCAGCATGTTGGCGTCGGGCCATGCCGTCTTCCTCTCCGGGAAGGCCTCGAAGAGACCGGCCGTCATAGCTGTGACGATGTAGCCAGGCGAGATGGTGTTGACACGGATGCCGTGCTCTCCCCATTCCGCCGCCAGGTTGCGCGCGAGCTGCAGGACCGCGGCCTTGGAGGCATTGTACGCCCTACAAACAGCAACACGGGGTTCATCTCATGCTCGCTTCACTCTCATGTTCCCCCACTCGTACACATACACATATCCGCATTTGGAAACTGCAGTAGAGAAAAGAGGGGGGATGGGGTTACTCACGGACAAATCAACCCTCTGTTCGCCACCGTTCCACTCATGCTCCCGATGAGCACCAAGCTGCCCGGTTGTCCCCTCTTGATCATCTGCCTCGCCACGGCCTGCGCCGTCATGAAAACTCCAGTCACATTAACCCCCAACATGCGATCCGCATCCGCCGCCGAGTACTCGAGCGCCGGCGTCTCCTGCTGGATGCCGGCGGCCGCAATCAGGCCGTGCACGCCGCCGGCCGCGTCTGCGATGCCGCCGACAATTTCGTTGAGCGCCGCTTGGTCACGCACGTCGACGCGGTGGTACGTCAGGCTGGATCCGAGCTCACGTTCGGCGCGCGCTGCAACCCGCGCGAACTCGGACTCGGCGTCCGGGGGAGGGAGTACGTCCAGTGCGTGGACAACCGCACCGGCTTCGAGTAGGCCCTCGGCTTGCGTCAGTCCCACCCCTCGGGCGCCGCCCGAGACGATGATGACCTTGCCAGCAAGCGAGAACTCGGGGAGGAGCGTGCTACGTGCTGCCGCAGCAGGGGGTGCGGCGGCGCTGAGCCTTCGTGGGGAGTTGTGTATGTTATGGGCAAGGAAGGGAGGGGGGCGTGGGTGGTGTTAGTTGGCTTGATGCCTGCGTGTCGGAGAAGCAGTGTGCCGGTGCATCCCGAACGAAGGCAAGGACGGGCCAGGCCTCGAGGTATGACAGAGGTGGCGGCTCGGGAGAGGAGTTTGGTCATTCTGAATAGTAGGACCTTTGGATCTGAGGGTGATGCTGGGTGAAAATTTTGGACGGAGTGAGTTCGAGGGCGGTGGTGGTTCAAAAGCTAGTGGGGAAGGTTTCGACATTCCTTTGTCCCGATTTATATAGAGCGGAAGCCGCCATTTAGTCGCCCGAGTTTTGACTCGGGCAATGTCAAGCTGAACAAACGGCTATGACACCAATATCCAAGCTTGCCCCTCACCCGCCCCTCCAAATCTCAGGCACAGCAGCCGAGCAGCACCATGCAAGTAATGTGTCGAATGGTTGTGTTTGACCATCGTCCCCTCGTCCCCTCGTCCCCGTACCTCCGTCGTGTAAGCCCAGTGTTGCGTTGAGCATAGTGTATTGTATTGTGTGGGCAGTGGGATCGGCCGCCAGTGAGCCTATCGACGCCGACAAGACGGGGAGGAGCTTAGACTCGATTGTCTTGCAGCCGGTGAGTCAATATCCCTGAAGGTCGGTGAGGCCCAGACTGTGGTTCCCCCGTGTCTTGCTCCTAGGGGACCGACCTCTCATTGGGTTCTAGTCACGGGATGGATGCTGCCCACCTGCCCTCCGGGAACCGAGAGCCTCCTCAATTCAAGGGCCAGGGAGAGTAAGCACGCCATCGTGGACCGGTGGCCATCTCACGGGTCCAGTTCCGGTGTTGGGATTGCCTCTCCGATGCAGTGATGCAGATGCAGGCCGGCCATGGGCCCGAACGCAGGCTTTAGCGCCGATCTTTCTGTGGGGAAGAACTGGGGTGAGCAGACGACCGGATTGCCTGATACGGAAGAGCCGGGTGAGGAGGCAGCGTGTCGGGCGTCAATCATCGAGATGGCGCTGAGGGGTTTCGACGGGCTCCGTGGCTCCCCACGGCGAATGTAGGCGTCCAAGGTGTCTTGGTGAGGCACACGGGGTACATATCCACGGTACCTTAGCAAAGTACACAATAGTAGGCACAACTCGGATCCGTCCAGGAGGATCGGACTTGGAGGGGGGTTTATGCAATTCCAGACGCCATGGATCTCACTGGCGATGGCAAGCGCTGTGAATGCGGGCGAGCTGTCAGTTATCCCAAGTCAATGAGGTGCAGAGTGCCTCAGGTGGCAACGGTGGCAGATAACTGATGAGAGATAACATTGATAGATGGATAGGTGGCTGACAAGGGGCGATTACCCGCCAGTCGCGAGCCGAGACACTGGAAGCATCGATCCGGCAGCCGGGGACCAGAGGCCGAGCGAAGGATTCGGTACTCGTGCGCCGTGCACTGCACGATGGCTCTGTATCTCATGAGTGACGAATGGATAACAGTTGCTGGGGGCGCGATAAATCGCCGAAGGCAGGCGTGGTCCGCCAGCCCCGCGTTATTTGCGCTCGTCCAGGTGCGAGTTCCAATTGCCGTCCATTCAACTGGGCAGCACAACAATCTTGGTGGCGCTGAAAAGATAACTCTGTGACAAGGTTGTTCTTGCCCCGCTGTCGACTTCTGCATCCAACATTGGCATGCACTCCGCAAAGACAAGCAGGCTTTTATAGTCACAGTATCATTTGAGATCCCCTCGTTCTTCAAGAAGTGGGAGGTGGGAGGGAGCTGCTGGGGGGCTGATGAGGGGCTGATGAGGGGCTGGTCAGTCGTCGTCACGCTCGGCGACGCTGCTGCTGTCGCGTGACCTCCGTCGTGTCTCTCAGGTCAAGTGGAAGCGGAAGCGGAAGCGAAAGCGGAAGCGTGCGGTGTCACAGGTGGAACAAGTGGTAGTGGCTCCCCGGGTTGCCTGCAAGGGCGGGTAGGGTAACCGCGAAACTGTCGCTCGACCGTCTCGCTTGGCGTCAAACATCCCCGGTGGCCCCCACGAGAAAAGGACCTACTCGGATACTAGGTAATCCATCCATCCGGCACTATGAGTCTTGTCGTCCGCTCGCTTCCATGCCCCCTTTTCTGCTTCAGGCAATCCGGCAGCCCTCAGTCATATCTCATTCCAGCCAAATCAGCGCCATCATACAGCAACTGAACACGCCAACTCTATTCGCTGGACCATGAACCTGAATTCCAACCACTTCGGCATCGTCTATCCGCCATATTTCCTGGACGCGTGGCGACCGAACAATTGATACTCGCCAGAGAGAGCCCCGCAATCAATAGCTATCTTGGTATGCAACCAAAACACCCCCCCAAAAAAACCCTAAAAAACCAGCATTCGCAATAATGTCCTATTATCACGTGTAATTATCACCGACGGATCCAGCTCGCTACCTACCTAGTGATATATCCCCTCCACATCTGCCTTTCCGCACCTGGTATGTACGTTGGTGTCGATATCACACTAGCTATTCCCATTGGAAGTCTAGAGCATATTGCTAGCAAAGGGCTTTTATCGTCTTGGTCCACCTTGTCCCCTATGTCTTGTTTTTCTTTTCTCTTCTTTTTTTCCATACTGCAATTACCTTTCGCCCTGGCAGCTCGTTGCCCTGCGTCGTCATCTCATGTCCCGCCAAGTGATTACCCTGCACAGGCCCGTTCCGGCGCCGGCGCCTGTTCCCGCTACGTCGAACCAAGGTCGTAC